GGCAGTTTGAGAGTCTCTTAACAAAATATGGTGTCAAACATAGGGTGGCAACACCCTACCACCCACAAACAAGTGGGCAGGTGGAGGTTACCAATAGGGAGATAAAGAAAATTTTAGAAAAAGTAGTTGGTCCTTCTAGAAAGGACTGGTCACTAAAGCTAGAAGACTCCCTGTGGGCATATAGAACAGCCTATAGAACTCCAATAGGTTGCTCACCATATAGACTCATTTTTGGCAAGGCATGTCACTTACCATTAGAGTTGGAATACAAGGCCTACTAGGTTCTTGCAAGGCTGAATATGGATTACAAACAGTCCTCTGAGAATAGGTTGCTTCAGTTAAACAACTTAGATGAATTTAAAATGAACTCATATGAAAATGCTAAGTTGTACAAGGAAAAAATGAAACGATGGCATGATAATCTAATTCAGGAAAGGTGTTTTGAGCCAGGCCAAAAAGTGCTATTGTTTAATTCTAGGCTTAAGCTTTTCCCTGGCAAACTGAAATCAAGATGGTCTGGTCCCTTTGAAATTGTAGAAGTTTTTCCACATGGGGCAATAGAGATTCAATGTGCCAAAGATGGTAGGAGGTTCAAGGTAAATGGCTAGAGACTAAAAATCTATCAAGGTGAACCTATAACTAGAGACAAGGCAATTGTTCCTCTGGTAGAGCCTTCTTAATCATTCCATATTTTGTTGTAGTAGCTTTTAGTTAGTTAGCTAGAAAAGTTTTTTGTTTTGTTTTGTTTTGTTTCGTTTTCTTTTGTATAAGTCCGCATGAATCTGTAGTTTGTCACATAGGTGTTTTGATATACATGCTACATAAGAGTCTAATTTTTTTTTTTTTACTGTCATGTATTAGTGCTGTCTTCAAAAAAACCAATGGAGAATTTGTTCTGTGAAATAAAAAGAAAAAGTTGATTGAGAGTTAAAATGGCTCTGCTGTGCTGAGTGAACATTTTGAGCTTGTGCAGATCACTAAGTTTGGGGTGAATGTGAGCTACCTCTGTTAAGAAAAATTCAGTTCTTGTCCCAATAACTTGCACATACCCTGATATAAAATTTGTGTGTACTGAGTGCTGACTTTTAAAAAGAGGTAGTTTGTTCTGTTTGCTGTCCATAAAAAATAAAATAAAGGGTATCATGGGCTTTTGTCCATGTTTGTTTGTTCTGTTTGCTCTGTTTGGTGTCTATATAAAAAATAAAATACAAATAAAGGGTAGTGTGTTACAGTGAGGTATAAAATGAATTGAGGGTGAGGTATAATTCTTGATCAGGAGATGTAAAATCTAATGAGCCCAATAATTTTGTTACGGTGAGTAAAATCCCTTGTGCATTTGGTTTTAATTGATTAATTAGACCCAAACAAAATAAAAAAATTTCAGCCATTGAATGAAATAAATTGGGCCATGATTATTCTACCAGCCCAATTATGCAACCCATCATACTCCCACTCAATTTATATTTATTTATTTAATTATTATTATTATTATTATTGTTATTTTTTATTTTATTTTTTTATTTTTGAATCGGACAACGGTCAGAAGCTTATCTTCCTCAATATCTCACTCAGGTTGTTGGTCCAGATGTAAAAATCCCCTGATCGAAGGGTGGTGTAAAGGCCATTAAATGCAGCTGAGCTAATATCCAATAGCCTGTGCATAAAGCTGCACCGTTGACAAGACCACACACTGCCATTTAGGCACTCCAGACTCTTTATTTTCTCCTTCACTATTCAAAAGACTCACCCTTCTTCGTCAAACTCTTCATTCTTTTTTTTGTTTCTTTCTACACCGAGCACCGTCGAGCCAAGCCAAGCAAGAGTTGAAGCATTCTGTCGCTCATCCTTGCCAGTAGAAAATTTCACCTTCGAGCCGTTCGTTGGAGCTTCTGAAAAAAAAAAAAATTCTCATCTTTGTTTTCTTCGTCGTGTAAGCAGTCAAGAAAAGGAAAAAAGGTTTGATATTTCCAAAACCCTAACCCTCTCTTGCTTTGGGTTGTTTCGCTATACCCATGTATCGTTTGGTGCTCGAGATTAGGCTAGGGGTCTGATTAGGGAAAAAAAGGTTTGATTTTTTTTTCCTGAAACCCTAACTTTATTTTTATTTTTATCTTTGGATTCTCTGTGACCATCTACCAATTTCTCACGCTGAGTTTCCTGTTCTCTAAACTATGTTTATCCATTTCATCTTCTTCCATCTACATATGGGTCGTTGTTGATCAAGACCGAAATATATATATATATATATATATATATATATATATATATATATATATATTATTTTTATTCAGATTCAAGTGATATACTGCTTTGCATTTGAACATACTCTAAAAGCATACTCTATGTTCATTCTTTGATATAATCCTGTAGAGTGCTCCTTACTGTTCATTCATTTTTTATTTTTTGGAGCTGCTGGTTATTATCATGTCAATTTTGACATTAGAGTTTGTGGATAGTGAAATATGCTTAGAGCAATTGATCTTGAAAAATGCTGTCATATGCTTCTGCTATGAGTTTATCACTTGGCTGCAAAATTTTGGTTATAGCAGCTTAATTCTTTATTGGTCAACACCTTGCTAGGAGATACATCTATTTTGTTCTCATTGATTGAGCTTCTTTGTTGAAACCATCTTGGTAAACAGAAATTATATTCTTGTCTTTGCTTTCCTTAAAGCTTAAACTTGGCATGTTCTGAGTAGGAGGTATAGGTCCTCCAACAAGAATAGAGGCTATGATCTGATCGTCTCTATATTGATAATCCATGATCATGTCAGGCAGCAAGAGTTTATGTATGTTGGGTATTCTTCACTCCTCGGTATATTGTTTAGGGATATCTAAATATTATCAGTTTCATCTGGTTATTGTTTTTGAGTTGATTACTTAATAAAAAATAAAATTGTTCCGATTGGGTGAATACATTAGATGTTTACCTATTTTTGAATATAAAATAATGCTGTCATGTATGCTCATAGTGAACACCACATCTGATCTACATGTTAAGTGGATAAACAAGCTTATTTGGTTGAGTTAAGTAGATTAATTTACATGTTTATTGATTTAATATACTTGCTCATTGATTCTGAAAATTAAAAAATAACCAGTAAGTGCTCATTATATTATTATTAATTTGTGATTTGTATTCTTTGTATAACATTGTTATGCTACTTTATCATTATTTTCTGATACAATTCCTGTAATTAAGCTGTTATAACACTTTATTTATTTTTCTTTGTTGACATTTATGGGTACTCATTTGCTGACAAATTTACCTTTATGTTTCTTTTATTCACTGATTTATTATCCAGTGAACAATGGCACCAAACAAAAATACAAAAATAAAGCATGGAGCAGTAAAAGGTAAAGCAGTTCACATACAAGCAACTCGAAGTTCATCAGCAGCTCGGTCTTCTTCTTCTGACCTTCCAGTTTCTGAAAGAGTTTCTCAACGTCTCAAGGAGCTGGATCAAGCCAAATTAAAAATTCATTATGAGAGAGGATTCGACCTATCTGATACAAAAGGAGCATATATGGAACATTTTGTCTGGCAACACGTCACGCCATGGCAATGGGAAGTCTTTGCTAACCATCCATCTGCTCAGGTGCCAATAAAGTTGGTTCACGATTTTGTGGCCAACTTCCCGGATGAGGAGGCACCACTTGCAGTCCCAGTTAGAGGAAAACTGGTGGACATATCCCCAGCAAAAATTCAAAAGGTGTACAACCTCAAAATTTCAGATTACAACTGGTTCCTGAAGCTTCTCTCAGACAGAACTCGGAATGAGGTTTATTCTTTAATGGCACGGACGGTCACCGGAGATGACACGACAAAATGGGATTCTGAAAAGATGCTGACAACGGATCTTACAAAGGAAGCTCAAGTTTGGGCGAAATTTGTTAGACATCGCATTTTTCCCAAGCTCCACATAAATCACTTATAAACTATGGTTGGTGTAGTGGTTTATTGCATTCTTCAAGGTCTGCCTTTTCACCCAGAGCGGCTCATACATCAAGAATTGTGTGAGAATTCAAAAAGGACATCAGGACCATTTTACTTCCCATGCTTGGTGAAGTTATTGTGTGATGCTGCTAGAGTGCCTTCTTCCTCCCAAGATGGAGCACTGGTCTCAATCCCTAACTCACCAATGAATGAGATATGCTTGAAGAGGATAGCTGAGTCAAGCCTACGGAAGAAAAAGAAAAACATCTTCAGCTCTGCCTTCTCAAGGAGCAGCTAAAGAAAAGGTTTCAGCTATGGAGGAGCGAATTGAGAAGCTGGAAAATGTCATAAAAAGGCTCCTCAAGTACATACAAAATACAAGAAAATGCTGTGCAGCTTCATACAGAGAAACTTTTCCTGATGAAGACTTTCCTGAGATTCCAGAACATTTATTTCAAGGTCACCTCCATGAAGGAACTTCTAAGGCTGCCGAACAAAATTTCGATGAGTTGGTTGATTTGGATGACACCTTTTCTGAAAGCTGAAATCTCTTGTTGGTACCCAGGTTCTTTATTTATTTAATTAAATATTTATTTATTTATTTTTCAATTTATTATTTTTATATATTTATGTATTGCCGTGAGGACCCAGCTTAATTTTAAGTTTGGGGTGATTTTGTGATTATATGCTGTTACCAATAATCTTTCTAGTATTTGCTGATTGGCGCATAAAAATGATAAAAATTTACTCTGTTTTGTATGCTGGATTACCTGAATGGTAACTTGGAAATAATTTATAGCCTGATGTGTTTAACATTCTCATTGCTTAAGTATAGCCAGATTTGATTAAATTAATTCCTAGTCAATTAAGGATCTAACTTAGTTGATCAATATTTATATAAGCTGAAAATCAATTGGCATGCCATAAAATTTTTTTTGTGATCCCTGATTTGCTGATTCACTGATAAACCACTGAATTAACAACCTTTGTGAGGTATTTGAACCTAAACACTCTATTCTTTTGTGAGTGGTCATTGTGTATTGGTGTTTTGAATGCTGCACTCTGTTTGGATGACTAATATGTTATTTCTGTGTGATTGGGGCATTGTTTCTGAATATGTAGCCTAGAGCCAAAAGCCTCACCCTTTGATTATATCCCTTGGTCCCTATATTTGAGCCTGAGGCCTTTCTTTTCTGATCATGTATCCTGATATTATGAGCCAAATCCCTTGTCCAACCTATATAGCTATCTTAGTATTTAGCTAATTCTCATTAGCTCAGAAATACAATAAGCTAAATGGGGCAAAGGGGAATTGGTTGTAAAAAAGAGAAGGGAAAGAAAAAGAAAAGAGGATCAGGAGGTTAAAAAATAAATTCGAAGAAAAAGGGGAACAAGTGATGTTATAAAAGGAGATCTCTGAGCTTGCTGTTTTTTTTTTTAAAAAAAGGGCAAAAGTAAAAATTTGTGGAAGTGATCAATGAAAAAGGGATAAAAGAGTTAGTAATTTCCCTTTATCTTGTTTAGGCAAAAATCAGAAAAAGCTAATGAAGATTAGTTAGACACTAAAGTGTTAGCTTAATTAGCCAAGTGACCAGAAAAACTAAGATCCTAGCCTTGTCTCATTACAAGCCTTAAAGACCCTTTGATGAAAGCAGCATATTGAACTTCAAGTTTCTAAATGGTAGTGTAGGTTGGAAGCATTCATGCATGATGATAATGAGTGAACTTTCTTATTAAAAAAAAGAAGAGAGTGTGATTGATTAAATATATCTGGAAAGGAATTCAGTGGAATGTCAATTGAATCATTTTAAGTTAAGGGTTGCAACTGAATGAATGAGCATAAAATATTGATTGAATGCTTATATAAGTGTTGATTGACTGGAGTTGGACGATTAATTTGATGTAGGAATTGGTTGACATTAAGCCTGGTCAATGCTTTAAGAAGTGTGATGTTGTGCAAAGATGGTTGATTAATTTAACTGAGTTATTGAAATTAAATCTGTGTTGTTATGTGACTTTTTATTTTTTTCTTAGCTAACAGGTGAAGTTGTGAGTGAAGTTTGTCTAATTACTTGAGGGCAAGCAATTAACTAAGTTTAGGGTATTTTGTTAGCACCAAATTATATATATTAATATTATTTTATTTTATGTTATTTAAGTACCTTTGGGCTGTTTAATTAGTGTTGTTGCAGGTAAATTAGGCCCAAATGAGTTAAGTAAAGGCCCAAGTAAAAAATGAAGGTAAAAAGTAAAAAGAGTAGAATTTGGCTTGTTTTTCCTTACATGTTTTACTTTCATTTTTAATTTCAGCTGAGAAGAAAAGAATGAAAAGGCACGTGGATCAGCTTTATGAAGTGAACACATTTTAACCATTGGATGACAAGGAGATTGACGGCTCTTAGTGTGTAGAATTTTTAGTTTTAGTTCCTTTTGTGGTTTGTAAAAAGAATATATAGATATCAGATTTTTAGATCGGAGACAGAGACTTAGAAAATTTTCAATCTTTGTATTTCTTTCATTGTTTAGAAAACTCGTGTGTTCTTCACTCCTTGAAAATCTTCAAGATCTCATTCTTTTTCAAGCACTGATAACGCTGGAAGGAAGGATCGAAGGAGGTGCTTGCAAGTGGAGAAAGATCCTGCTCTAGATAGGATCGGTATTATGTTGAACTATTTTTCTGATTTTATCTTTTAATGCATGTTTCTGTTTTTCTTTCATCTTTGATTTTCTTTTTCTGAATATGGGTTTCTAATTTCTTTATTTTCTGGGTATGTTAATAATGATTGGGTGAATTTTTGATGTTCTTTGTTACTGTTTTTTTTATCTCATTCGAATTAGTTTTTCAACAAAAAGAAATTGGGAAATTGATTTTTGTTAAGTGTTAAATGAACCCTTTTTGATTAGGGATAATCAAAGGTGATTTCTGATATAATTCTCTGTAAAGATTCAAGAAGCTTTGGGAAAAGATCTTCTTGAGCCTTAATGTTGATTCTAGAAAGTCAATTAAACTTGCCGTAGCAACTCAGAAACTGAGATAAATTCGCTGTAGCACTGTACGTATTTGCAGGAATGCAAATATTTTTGTCATCCATGATTTTTTGATATACTCAGAAGCTTTTAAACATTGATAAATCAATTCTTACTTTTTAGATCAGATTTTGATAATTGAAAAAGACTACAAAAAGTTTTCATGTTATAAAAACAATTAAGTTCCAATTCAGAATTTCTTAATTCAGAAAAATAAAAAGAAAACTAATTCGACCTGTTTCCTGAGAACAATACTCTTTCTTTTGAGAAAAACTCTACCAACACTACCTAAGGTATTAATTTGTAATTATTTATGTATAAAAAAGAAAAAGAAAAATCCTATTATGACATTTTAGTGTAAGCTATCACTTTTAGTATATTTAATGGATCCTTTCTTGAAGAACATAGAAAGTAATTGTAAAAAATCAATATAACTCAAAAGCTTAAACTGATGGGTGAGGACTTTTTAATGGTTATCTATATCTCATCACGTCCCCTCACAAGAGAACCCATTAGGCTTGAAGTGTGGACAATGCATAGGCCGACCTACCTGTGCTAAGAAAGAAATTCCACTAGAAAGAAAGTTGGGGGGGGGGGGGGGGCGATGAGGATCGAACCCGAGACACGAAGCTCTGATACCATGTAAAGAACCAATTCAACCCAAAAGCTTAAGATGATGGGTGAGGACTTTTTAATGGTTTTCTATATCTCAACAGTAATCTTATAGTTTGAACTAAGAGACAGGCTGCTCTAGCATGCCAAAAATACTTTTGCCAGGCTTTTGTATACCTTTTTAAAGTTATGATTTTGTTCTTGATTTAATGTCCTCATTCCTGCATAGTTCTGTCTTTTTTGATGCAAACAGGCAAAAGGAGAGAGGTCAACTAATTTCTTGGAATTCATTGACCAATGTACAAACATAATGCAGCTAAAGCAAATACATGCTCACATGCTCCGGACATCCCCCTTTTGTGACCCATATATTGCCAGCAAATTACTGACAGCCTATGCTCTCACATCATTCTCGTGCCTCAGATATGCTCAAAATGTGTTTGATCAAATCTTGCAGCCAAATCTATATTGTTGGAACATCCTTATTCGTGCTTATGCCTCCAGCTCAGAACCAACGCATAGTTTCTTGATCTTTTTGCATATGCTATATTCCTGTTCAGAGTTTCCAAACAAATTCACTTTCCCTTTTCTTGATTATTAAGGCATCCTTGGCTTCAGACTTGTTCATACTTAATTCACTAATACATTTCTACGGTTCAAGTGGGGCTTCGGATTTGGCCCATAGAGTTTTCACCAACATTCCAGGAAAAGACATTGTTTCTTGGAATGCTATGATAAATGCCTTTGCACAAGGGGGCTTGCCAGAGAAGGCATTGCTTTTGTTTGAGGAAATGGAGATGAAAGATGTGAAACCAAATGTTATCACCATGATTGGTGTTCTTTCAGCTTGTGGCAAGAAGTTAGATTTGGAATTTGGAAGGTGGATCTGTTCATATATTGAAAGGAACGAGATTCCTGTCGACTTGACTTTGAATAATGCAATGCTTGACATGTATGAAATGTGGGAGTATTCATGATGCAAAAAATTTTACTTGCAATAACTGCAAGATCCTTATCCTTGTGTTGATGATTTGTTCGATGAAATCAAGGTGCTTTTGCAGTTTACTATATTTTTCTTGAAAGCTTGTGTAACAATGATATATAAGGTCCTTGAGTTAGCTCACAGATTTCCCTTGCTTGACACCCTCCATCATGTCCATTTATCTAAGTCATCAAGCTAAGGATACGGGGCTTGCAATTTGCAACAGTTGCAGGCGCAGCCCTGGACTTTAATATGATGCAGAAAGACACCATTGACAATTGCATCGTAGTTCAATCGGACACTGAGAGTTGGATTCAGATCTGAAACTGAAAGCCAAGGGCGAAGAAGAGAAGCTTCTTTTCCTTTGCTAAACATAAAGTATAAATACATAGTATAGCATCTATCCGGAACAAGTCCTAGTGGCTCTAAAGATTGCACTGAAACTGTACGAAATTAGTGTTGTAATGCATTGTTTGAGAACATGGCTTCCATCTAAAAATCAAATGCTGATTTGCTCTGCACACTAAGCTATTATTATTTTTTATTTTTATTTTTCTGAAGTAAAAAAAAAAAAGCAAATGCATGTTATTTTATGATGTAAGTGTTATGGTATACTTTCTTTGCTCGGAAGAAGAAAAAATATCTGAAAATCATATGCTGATGTTTTGGCTGTAGCCAACTGGTAAGCTTTTAAGATGACCCAAGAACACGTTTGCATATCTTGAATCTAAAAAGTTAGACTACTATTGAAATGTAGATTGGTATGTCCGTCAATAATTTGTGTTAGTCTTTGAAAGTAACGAATTCTATTGTGATTCATGTTGAAGTGGTAAAAAAAAATTGAATTAACAAACGAAAATAAGTCTAGACCTTGCGGCCTTCCTTTGCGTAAAAGAAAAATTGTATCATAGGTATTTCATCTGCGTTAATACGTACTTTTATTTGTTATATATAGTAACATTTTTTTTTCTCAACTCATCAGTGATAACCAATGTTATTAGAACCGGATCGGTCATTGATCCGGTCGAGGTACCGAGTCACTAGATCAATGGTTCAACCGGTGGGTCACTAATTGAATCGTATGAACCGGATATATATATATATATATATATATATATATATATATATAATTTTATATTTTATACTTAATTACATAATAATATCTTGGTGTCATCTAAGTAATATCCTGATGTAGTTTAGTGGTATTTGCTATGTTGTGTTTCCTCAATGCAAGGGGTTTGAACTCTATTGAATGCAATTTTTGAAATAATTCTCTTAACTTAATAGTTATATAATAAATATATTAAATGGTGCATTTTATTTAACTATTGATGGTGGGCTAATGATATGAAGTGGTGCTCTCACCCCAATGTGCCGTGTTCGAATCTCATCTACTTCAACTTCCATTTTTAAATAAGTCTTTACTGAAACTTTAGATTTTCCTAACATTTATGATAAATGTTTATGAGTCAGTTTATGCATTTATTTAAGTTTAATTTTTTGCAACTATATAATCGTTCCTGATAACTGTTCATGTGATCTATCATTCCTTTAAAATAAGGAAGAATTAGTTGTGTATAACGACTAGAGGAATTTGAGTCAACAGATACTTTAGTCGTCTAAAGGCAATACACGTTTCTGAGGAGAAATAATTGGACAAATTAGAATCCCAACTTAATATTAATATTTTACATTGATGTTCCTTGGTTATTTATTAGATTTGTAAATATATAGAATTTACATAGGAAAAAAAAGTATATAGGACAATTTTCTTATCATGCTATAGAGACAATAAGTGTAGAGTTCACTATGTTTAAAATAAATAAAAAATACAGCATAAATATCAATGTATGTGTAGAAAATTTTGCATTTGCCATGCAAACAAATGCAAAACCCATTTACATAATACGTTTCTTTTAATCAAATTCGAAGTAACTTTCCTTGTTGGTACGGTGTCAAATTTTACTTTAAAAAAAAGTGTTAAATTTTCATTATAATAATTCTATAATATTGAAGTGAGGCGGCATTGTTTCAGTTTGTTTGCTATTTGACTAATTAACTTTTCTTTAGACAAATGGAAAATATTGTGACCTTTTAATATATTTGAATAAGTATGATTCCAATCTACGACCATGTATATTCACATATTACATACCTGTCTAATATTAAATTAATTTTTAATTTTTTTAATTATAATAATATAATAATATAATAATCATATAGCATGGAGATTATTAAGGATGTCTACGGAGCTGATCGGTTCGGTTTTTTTTTAAATAAAAATCAAACCGAACTGATTTTAACAATTTGATTTTTAAACCAAATTAGTTTTTCTTTTTTAATAACCGGTTTTATTTTTTAAACTGGTTCCAAAATCGGTTATGATTCCAAACCAATTTAAAATTTAAAACCAGTTTTGTAACTAAACAAGACAAAATTCACCATCCATGTAATACTAGAAAAAAAAGTTAAATAAATAAATAAAAATAATAATTTACGTTCATGTACTTATTGGTGGAAAAATGCCAAAATATGAAGGAATTGGCATGAGGAAATGCCAGTGGAGTATCTTATAATAACCCTCAATAGTTGTGGATTTAATATTGAAGAATAATTAGAAGTAAAAGAAATAAAGTCACTTTTCGTGAAAAAAGAGTTAAAATGACAGTTAAGGGGTAAAAATACGGATAAGCAAAATTACCTAAGTGAAAGTAAAATCTGATTTATGACTAGAAAAATATTATAGTCCATTGGATAAAGTTTGGTATTGAATGGAGGTGTGTAGATAAATAAGCTGTTACCCCCTTAGTTAAAGTAACTTAGCCTATTTAAAGTTAGAAACCGTGACACCCCTTTTATTTTTTCTTCCCCGTGCGCGTTGGCTTCTGTCTTCATTTTCCATTAAAATAGCTTAGGTTTTCCTTTTCTTTTCTCTTTGATTTCTCATCACACAATCATCCAAATGAAAAAGTCCATTACATGAAATCAATAGGAAATCATCCAATGAATTCATTCCACCCATTATTTTGAGCTAAAATT